TTCTTAGCTTAATTAAAAAAAAAGAAAAAGTAGTATTTCTCAAAGCCAATACCATGAACTTAAAAAAAAAAAAAACACCACCCCAAACCACGGAGCACTGCATGTCCATATGCAGTTTTTCAAAATCAAGTACTTCTCATTTCCAGCTTAGCAAGATAAGGGTGGAGTTGGTTTTTTTGTTTGTTTGTTTTTGTTTTTTTTAAAAAGGTGCTTAAACTTTGATTCGGGTCACAGAGCTACATGTTCGGAAAAGAACCCCAAAAATACGCATTAGATTTCCAAATAAAATACACATTACACAAAAGAAAACTCACCGTATTAAACCAAAACTTCACAATTGGTGCATGATAAAACGCATAAAATTTCTGTGTAATTGGAAGTCTTTTAGGTTTTGCTGGAGTCTCCATATCATGCTTTTCTGCAGCACTGTCCAAGATCCTTACTTCTTTAAACACCTCCTAAAATGAAAGGATTGTTAACTTTACAGACAGAAATAGATGCTTTCAGATACTCATTTGAACTCTTGCTTTAATTTAAAAATGTAATTATTTTAAGTTAGAAATATTGTTTTTAATATCTCCCCCTGCCCCACATTACCATAGGTATTTCATCTGCTGCATTCTGGAAGTTGTTTTCACTGTCATCCATTGCCATTTGATGTGCATCTTGAGATTGAGGAATATGTGACATTTCAGCCTTGGTCTTATATTCCAACAGCAGTATAGCAGGAGGGAGTAAAATACTCAGTATCACCTGGAAAAGATGAAGACTAAATGCAAATAGTTCACAGCTACATTAAAGTATCAGAATATACCAACACACAGAATATCCTCTGAAAACATATTATCCAAATTTCACTTGCTTGTTATCAAGGGGAAAAAAAAAAGTAGAAAATAATTAGTTGTTATTACTTATATACACACTTAAGAGGCTAAAGGTCACATATACAGAGTGTTCCCTGACTTGAAGATATAGGAAAGGGGAAAAATCAACAAATTCCAAAACTAAAAGCCGCTAGAAAGAACGTACTCCAAGCCTGAAAATCCAGAGATGTTCTGTTTACACTCTGTTCTTTAATCCACTCCCAGAAACTCTGGAACTGTGTACTGTCAAGATGTATTTAAAAAGCATATAAGAATTGAGGTTGTGGTTTGGTTTTGTTTTGTGTGCGTGTGTGTGTGTGTTTTGTTTGGTTTTGGGTTGGTTTTTTTTTTTTCAACTTATGGTAGGAAAATGAGCTAAGGTATGGATGAATAGGTGAAAGCTATTTATTGTCATTAGCCTGTTACAAAGCAAGCAAGAAAACGGTTAATCAGTTATCAAAGAGGATTTTAGTAGGTCACAAATTACATGATGCTTGTAGATATTTTGCAGGAAAGTTTTATTTCATTATATTCCTAGCAACAATTAGGTTTTGGCACACCACCTCAAAGAAATATGCAACTCCCATTTTGGTTCAATTGATCTATATCACAAAGGGCACCACTGGAAAACCTATCCCCGATTTGCCTGCCCTTGTTTCATTCTGTGCCCTGCTTTTGGCTCAGTTTCTTCCTCCAAAATAGGATATATACAAAGCTTTACTACATCAAGTCTTAAGCGCTGCCTGTAAAAAGCCAAAATGTATGAAAGTATATTCTTACAGTGGGTTTTCTGTCTGTTAAGATTTTTTACCACTATGTTTTTAGTAGTGGATTAGTATTCACATGATCTCTTTAAGCCTCTGATTAAAGGCTACTTGCCTGGTTTTTGCCTTCTATATTTCTGTACCTTATTTGAAAAGATAATAGAGTGTCAAAAGAAGAGTTAACAATAAACACTTCCAGTTTTGATTATGTTATAGGAGACTGTTTTACAGGATTTATTAACATAAGCTATAGTTGTGAAAGCTTTATAACTAAGAGCATTTAAACACTTGCTTTCCTTCCATTTAACCACAAATTCCGTTGATCCTTTTTACACCGATAAACTGCGACAATGCTTACTTTGTACCATGAATTCTTCCTCATGTTCAGCCTTCCCATCCACATATCCGATAACAACATCTGTGTACAAGTATGTGCTACAAATGGACGAAGCCTTGATGACACTGCTAGCTTCAGACAAGTTGAGTTGCTCCAATTTTTAAGCTCATAGGTTAGTAACTTCATTGCCATAGTTTCATCTTGTCGGAAGGACTGTTCTAACAGTTCAACTGCCAGTTGACCAAACTCGCTAGAATGAAGAAAAAACAACAAAACAAAATTTAGTACCTATAGAAATGACCTTGAGTTTAGGTCAAATTTTTTTGTGCAATCAAATTCCCAGTAGCACAACTTGAAGGGACTACTACCTGTCCCTTCTGTACAGATATACTGTACAGTAATTTCTAACTAACACATGTGAATCTGTTACTTCTATTAAAAACATATGCAGGCTACAAACAGCTGTTAAAACAGGCAAGGAAATTACATGGAAGTAAATGGCACATTCAGTGTCATTTTAACTATAAATCGTGACTTGTGACAGCTCTCAAGAGAGAGCAATATCCAATGTAAAACTTCTACTAGAGTGTCACTTAATCCTTTTTGCAAAAAGGAATTGTCTTCAAGTGTGCTAATAGAACAGTTTGGGGTTTGTTCATATATAGCCCACTACTTTTACTGTAAATTTCAAGAAAAGATCTTTAACTATCTAAATGTAATTTACTTGGAATACTGTTTCAGTTCTTCTGAAGTATCATCAACAAGGTCACTTTGTTTTGCTTCATATGCCATCGAACGATACACTTTGCAAGCAACTAAGGCTTTCGCCATGGACTCCTCCCCATGCTGCCAGAAGAAGAGGGCCATCTTCTGCCTCTTCATTAACACCGCCCAAAGCAACAGCTCGTTGAGAGGATAAGCAAAACGTCTCGTTTCAGGATCATCTATGTCTACTATTTCATCTTTGGTTCTTTTCTTTTTTCCCTCTTCTGCACCAGTGTCAATCTTTAAAATAAAATCAGAAAGTTACATTTTAAATCTCTAAACTTGGTAATTACATAGCTTGAAATAAAATGCTGAGGGATCCAATATCAAATTATATATAATTATAAAAAGAAAAATGAATTTCTGAAGTCTTGAAAAGCAGCTGGAACTTTTGTTCAAAAACGTCAGTTGATTCCAACTCATTTTAATAACCGGGAGACTGAATTACTTTGATTTATAGGTCAAAAGAAAAGCAGTGACTAATATACCTACAAATGAGGAAAGTCATGGGACACATGGCCAAATCTAGCTCCGTCTACAAAGCCACGTGAGTCCCCCCCATTGCTAGAACTGTGCCAAAGATAAGCTTTTTGCTCCCCCCTAACATATCAAAGCTTGTCCAGAAGACTATTACACAGAAAATTAAACACCCTTTACAGAATCCTTTAAGCATGCTAGACAGTTTATAAACAAGTACAAAAGCAAGGCTGAAATTCCAGCTTTACCGAAGTCAGTAAAACTGCTGCTGCTCACACTTCAGCGGCACCTGGATTTCAACCAGGTTCTCCACTCCTAACTACTTAAAATAAACCCCACCTTGTTGCCCTCACACATCTGTACCTTTGGTTTGTATGGCTGTGCTGTTTTGATGAAGTGATTATGGCGCATTTTTTCTTTCTTGTCTGCCCTGTTACCAAAAGAATCATGGCTTTTACACATCTGAGGAGTAGTATTTGAAGGATTTCGCCCAGACCGCTGCAACAAGAATAAGAGGAAGGTGTTTGGTTTGGTTTCTTTACTCTTACCTACTATGCATTATAAAATCATCTGTTTATAGCTAGACACTTAGTTGAGCAATTAAACAGCTATTTTGCTACTGAAACAGTAATGAACGTATATAACAGCAACAACCAGAATTTTCACTGGATATTTAACAAGTTGTTTGTTTGTTTGGTTTGGTTTTTCAAGAAGTCACAAAGTAGGCAGTTACACTTGTTGCTTTAGAAGAAGCTAAGACATCTGCATCCCAAGCCCTGGTGAATCTGCATGTTTAGTGCCCGTTCTTCCCCTATGAGCAGGAGAAGAGGGAGTAACACAGAAGGAATTTAGATGTGCTAGAATAAGGAGCAGGAGAACAAAACCTTTTGTTTGTCCTCAATCCCAGAACAGCTACCAGGTGCCCTCATAGGCCTTACTAGCGCCTTTAAAAGAACCCGTCCATTGACAAGAAGAACAAAACAATGCAGATCCAATTTTCCTCCAAAATTCAGGTTTTTTAAAATTGAGAACGTATGATTCAGCATGTCCTGTTATCCAACTGCCACATACCCGATTGTTCCCGCTGAGACTATTGTATATAGCTCTAAAGCGTTTTCTTGTATAGGTGCATCTATAGGTTCCTCCCATCAGATATTCAATAACCAACCCCACATCAATCAGGTTGATTTTATATCCCGGAGGAAGATTTCCCTAGGAATACAAAAGGTATTTTTAGTTTTTCAAATTATAATCTTAAACTTGCTTAGAGTGTTTCTACATGTCACATGACAGCTCTAAATAAAAAACAAATTAAACCTTTCATGATTAAAAAACCCCATCTACATGGCTCAATATTTATCAGTTTCAAAAAAAGACAAGGTTATAGCTTCTTTTCTGTATGATCTCCCCTAGCAGGGTAGATGTTCATTCTGTCGGGGGGGCGGACTGGTTTTTGTCTATTGTTTTAACAACCAAAATTACTCCTAGCTGGGAGTATCAGCTTTCAATCCCCCCAAAAAGCAAAACAATCACAAGTAAGATGAAAAAGACAACACTCATTGGGTTTAACATCTTCCTGGCAGCAGGGGACTAAGCATACAACAGCAAGTACTGGAAACAACAGAATGACTGCAGAGGTAGCTTATTATTTACAATAAAGCCTAATTAATAAACCTAAGAGTAAATTGACAGTCAAACATTAGAAATCATCAAAAAACTAACACTGCTAGTTTGACAGATTTTTACATTTACAGCATACCTGTTTGACATCCCGAACAAGATGAAAGAGTGTTGGGTTAGTTGGGCCTTGTTTCTTTATAAAAAAAGAGGGGGGGGAAATTTGGAATGAGAAATTAGAGTGCAATGACAACATGAGAAGATTACAGTAGAAGCCAAATATTTTTGCATGTTGGCTCAAAAAAAAAAATCCTTAGTATTTAAACAAATAGTAGCCATCAAATAAGAGCAAATATTTCAAACTACCGTATTAGCTATAGACTATTTCCTTTTTTGTTTCATTTTACTTCTGTTTTAATTTGGGACATAATTAATACACCCACAGTTTGTCCAAATAGGGGGGGAAAAAAAAAACCAAAACAAAAAACCCCAGAATGCAAAAAGCAGTGTTACGGGTTTTTTGTATTATTAAAATGTAATATTATAGAGGCAAGTTTTAACAAAAAAACATTTTCATTTACAGGAACACACACAGACTGATATTCATATTTACAGTATTGCAGGATCCATAGTAAAAGCTCCCTTACTTTTTAAATCTTTAGTCTGAACATTCCCTCTTTTTACCAAAGTGGATTCTTCCTTCTATGATTTCTTGTGAGTGCATGAACTGTTACTCTTTTAGACATATGGTTACCCTAGCTCCCATACAGAAATAAATCAAAAGCACATCAAGTGTGTAAAAGCAACACCATAAAAGGTTAATTAAAAAAAACATAACAAAACCTGATCACGTGGGCTCCTTTACAGAGCTTTACTAGCTAAAGAATTCCTTCTTTTTGTCTCTTTTTTTGTCAAAAGCAGATAATGAGCATGTTAACGTAAGCCTAAGTCATATTTGTGTACTACTCACATTAGCTACTTTTTGGTGGAAGGTTTTTTGTTTTGTCCTGTTAGATACTTACTGTTATACAAAACTACTTTAAAATTCTTAAATCAACACCTACAGCAATAAAATTTTTCTAAGCAATATGTAGAACTAAGCAGGTTCACAAAATAAGCTATTTTTACAACTATTATGATAATATTAACTGCTATAGACAGAATTCATCTTATGAAGCCCTAACAATGCTATCTATAGACCTCATATTTTGTGCACAAGTTGCACCCATCTGACTTTCTCTTGTCCTCTTCCCCACTGTGGTTTACACATTTCATATGTTCCACAACAAGGCTGCAATTTTCCCTTTAGTATCTATCCCCAACATCAGACACAGATGAACATCCTGCTGACAAACTATTTCTGGTATCATTTCTGAAGAGCCAGAAAGCAGCTGTGGCACTATAAAGCAGCCAGACAGCACGCACTTCTCAACTCTAACTTCAGGCCAGCTTCACGAAGCCTTCCCTATCGACACCCCATGGCGTTCAGACTGGTGCACGTGACCCAGTATACAACACGCTGAGCAACTCAAAAGCGTTTCTAGAAGTAGCTTAAAAAGCAATCATTCACTTACTGTGTTATAAAGCTCTTCCAGCCTGGGAATTGTAAGAAATTTGTGCATGCTAACTCCATTTTCAATCAGAAGTTTCACAAATGCAACTCTATCCATCACGAGGGCATCTAACATAGCCTGTTCCAGAGAGCCAACCTACAACGAATAAGTAACAAGGTAGAGCCTGGAGAGAACCAGTAAAACGGAGCATCACAAAAGTAAGCGTACTTAGATTACCTATCAACCTCATTCATTTACGGGGCTGGGGAAACCTTATATGTCTACAAATACAAAGGTGTCACCCTTGGTTCAGAAAATCCCCTGAACTTCACACAATTACAGGATAAGAGAATATTCTGAAGACTTAATCAGCAAGTCTTATACTCTTCCATAGGTATCTCCTACTGACACAGTACATGGGACTAAGAAGATGTTTGGTTTAATGTAGTTAAGCTGTTCTCATAGATTGATATTGGATGAAACACAAAGACATAAAACATTTAAAGCACAATTTGCTTCAAAGACAAATGCTCAGAACCATCATTGCTGTCAACAAGCCTTACGTTATGTACTTTTGACTGCACACTCATGTAAGATTGTGTTTTATTTTTACAGTAATATGGGAAAAAGGCAAGATCCACAATGTAATTTTCAAACTAGTTTGCAGACTACAAAAACCAGACATTTTATCCTCCCCCTCAAAAGACACTGCAGTGCTGCCAACAGTAGTTAATATAGGCATTTTACTAGATGCTTCTTAAGAACTTCCTATGACCATGCAACTGTAAGGAAGAAAGAGCATCTGACTAACATGAATTCCACTTCCACCTTTTGCAATGTCTTTTCTCCTTTAGTTATTAAGAACACTTAGCACATTTCTAAAATTTTTGGACCATTTTCAACTACACAATAACAAAAGAGCTGTAAGACTATGCGGTATGCAAAAATTACTGTCCTCAAAATAAACGTGTCATTATTCTACAGTCTCTCTCTCTACAAAAGTCAAAAGATTCATTCTTTACAATAAGTCGAGTTTTTCTCTTAGAAAATATTGTTCTGCTAAATCCAGACCATTACATACCAGCCATTGTTGCCCATAAACAAAAACATGATTTTTGGCTATGTCAACTCTATCCCATGCAAGTGTAAGAACAAGCTGGTCAAATGCAGATGCATTCGTGCCTTAAGAAGCAAAAACAATGAAAAAAAATTAATTAAAATATAAGACACTAAACATACATTCTTCCTAAAAAGGCCAAATCAAGCAATCTACCACAAAGTTATACAGTATATATTATCATTTATGACACGTTATGGTATTATACAATGAGAAAACATAGTAGATAATTATTTGCTTAAAAACTGAAGATTCCTACAGATTATAGTATTTTATAAATAATCCATCATATAAACACTAAACAACAATAGCTGGGGATTCCAAATGCTCTTAAAAATTCAAAGTCTCACCTTTTAACAATGCTGTAAGTATTGCAACATCAATGTCCTGGTGTTCATCTGACCCAATATGAAAAACTGTAATCTGTCCAAAATGGTAAAATAGGGAAAACATATTTTTAAGTTATTTTCAGGCAAAGGTGATTAGCTCCAGTCTTTTATGTCAGGAATTGAAATACATTTAAAAGTCACCTTATCTTCAATGCAATTTAAGTCTATGCTCGATTTAAACTTACCTTTAGTGTGCACTCTGTATTGTTTTCCTAACTGGGTGCCACACAAGACAATTTTTTATCAGAAAAAGCATAGCAGAAACCCTTTACACTCTTCAATCAATTTGAACTTCTTTTCCCACTATGATTACAATTCTCTATTGTCTATAAACACCACACAGTATTCTGTTTACCTCTCCAGTTCATTCTAGATTATGAGATTAACCTGCCAGCAAACATGTTTAGCCAAATATGACAATTTTAAACCTTAGAACAGCACAATATGATGTCCAAATGAGACACCACTACGTGAACTCAGGCTAGATATAAAGCTCTATAAAGCGCTTTTGCTTTAAGCATGCAGTGATAGTAGACCTTTGTTAGTACAGTCATCATCAAAAGACCAAAAAACCAAAAAAAAAATCCCAGGGTTTTCAAAAAATCGAAGCAAGAAAAAAGGACAGCAACCCAAATACAAAATACATACACACTATAAACAAACCAGAATCCTGTCATCTGAAAACAAATAGGCTTGGAAACAACGACAAACTCTGATTACCAGAAATAATCACATGAATTAAGTCTCTCTTGGCCATGAGGAAAAGTATACGTGAAAACTGTATTTGACTATCTTCTATAACTAGAAGACCCACTATGTCCAGAAAAGATTTTTGAATGACTCTTGATCATATACAACATTGAGATACAATTTAATATTATATCCACAAATGCACGCACCTTGCATAAAAAATTTTTATGGCAAGTTCTACTTACAAGTTCTTTTTTTTTCATGCATTCCAGCAGTGTCTGAAACAAATGAACTGCTTCACTTTGACCAAAGTTAAACGTCTTTTTGATGGTTGAAATTATTTCAGGCTCAGCACCCTCAGGAACATTCCTGAGATTGAAACAAACAAACAGGAAAACACACTGTTACACATGAACAGTAAGAACAACAATGCATTTAGTTAGTTTCAACACGTCCATTCAAAGTCCTGCTCTCCATTAAGCTTATTACTCTTTCAGTGGCAAAATCTTGGGTAACTTTGAGCAGGAAGTATAGGTTGCTTAATCTATGACTTTCTACTACCGCCTCCTAAAAGTAACTCGGCTTCTCTCCCTTTCCTTCCCATACCCAGTTCCGAGATACTCTCAACTGAAAGATTTTGGACACAAAATACTAAGTACTCACCCCTCTGAAACCTGCTTCTGATCTTACTATGGACAAAGCTGTTTGGTTTACTGCTACGTTAGGTCCCTGCCTCCTGGTTCTGAGGCAGTCCCTGCAACAAGGACCCAATATGTTTAAGGATTTATGCAAGTCTGACAACTAACTAGAAATCACTAAGTATTGTGGAGCCCAACCACAACCCTTTTATTATTTGAACCTACACTTAAAACAGACAAGTGTTTTCGACACTAAACAGAAGTGTGTGAAAAGTTCAGTTTTAAGACTACTCAGAAGAAACAATATAGAAACTCTTTCTGATCCCTTTTCAAGAAAAGTTACCACTATGCAACAGCTAACTGCATGAAAATATTTCCATTCAATGTTGTCAAGTGACATTTTCAAGCAGTTTGGTAACATACGATTCTTCATGTTATTCTCACATCTCTGGAAGTTCTGGTCAGCTCTGACTCCTGTTGAGCAAAACTCCTGTGCACACTTAACAGTCACATTTATCACTTAAGTTACTGTGGCTTAGTTCAAATTTGAAGTTGAAGCAGACAGAGCAATTTAAACTAAGAGTCAGGTCCTCTAGTTACAATGGTGTAACAAAATTACCGCACGTAGCTGAAGTTACACACAAGATGTTTCCCCTAATTTACCATATAGGTGTGTCCACTTCTCCTATCCTTTTTGTAAGTATTGCTAAAGCAAGCATACGCTACAGAATTTGGTGCAACTGGTACAAGGTATGTGGGAGGAACCCAGAACTAGAAAAGAAGTCTTGGTCTTTAGCCAGAGCTGTTATTGCAGCCAACCCAGAAAGCTGCATCACAGGCAAGATTACACTCTCTGCTTTTAGCCTTTGCCTTTCCACAGAAAAAGCTCTTGCACAATTTCATTAAGGAATGGTCTCAAAACCCATCTACGTATGACTGATAGTTTGGCTAGCAGTGCTAGGACTTACCCTCCCTCCTCTGTTTGCTTGTGAACGTATGCCAATATGTCTGCAGCTCTACCAGTTCCTTCACATACTACCACCGGCACAGGAGGACTCTCTTGAAGGAAGTCTAAAACTGTGAGTATGACGTTGGGGCCACCTTCGAATACAAGTGCCACCACAGGCACACCTTGGCCAATTCCTATAAAGTTGCAAATAAGTAATAAAAACCAGACAATGTTGTAAGTGTATAGGGAATGCTAAGACTGATTTTACATATTTAATAGATCAAGTATGTCCCTTCTATTGAATAAATATTAAAATGCTTCCTGCCAGACATTTTAACTGTTGCTAATGCACAGTTTCAAGCACTGTTTATACTTTGGCCTGGGGGGAAAGCGCTGCAAAGAAGCTGATAAATACAATGGAATACAGTCTACAAAACAGAAGAGATTCTTCACGGAAATATTCCTGAACTAACGCAGAAAAGTGAACATTTTTTCTTCAGGGAACTCCCCTTCTACATTCCCCCCAGATAGTTTCCAAAGATGACAACACGTATACAATTTGAACACATGGAATACATGGAAACCCTTTACTGACAGGGAGTATTGCAAAATCATTCCTAGAAGAGAAAAAACACAGAGGTGTTGCCCCATAATTGGGAAAACACCAAAAGAAGTCAGGGCTTCTTTGCACAAACACAATGATGTTTTACAAATTCAATTGCCCTATTGTGAAATTGCAAGTGATCAGTGTCAAAACCATGAATCACCAGACCAGTAAGGCCTGACAACATACTAGTAACTCAAGTCATGTCCATTTGCTTTATCAAAGCAAAATTGACAACTTTATTCAAAAGAACCCTCCTCTCTGGTCCCAGAGAAATCCTAAAACTACCAGCAACATCTAGGGTCCAAAGCAGCAGTTGAAATTTGCAAAATAATCAGACTTGAAACATAAACAAAATACTAATTTTTCTATTTTCTCATTAGGATGTTTGGTGCAAGTACCTTTTTCATCAAAGCATAGTAACACTCAGCCCTCAGGCATCATAATTACTTACTTGCATGGATCCGTTGCAAATTAATAGTTTTTTCCAGTTCTCTCCGCAATTTAACTTCTGCTCCATACTTTCCAACTGTTCCATCATCCACCAGAATGAAATGGGAATGGAGGTTATTTAGGACGTTTAGTTTACTTAACGGGTTTAACAAGGTTTGATATGGAGCAACCACCTAAGTATAAGCACACAACAATGTCTTTTACTTATAAAGATACAAATTTGTTTCTGTGAAACTTAACTTTTTGTCTAGACACAAGAACTGGTGGCTCAACAAGAAGCACTGACACATGTAAGCATGCCTTGGGTCAGGATACACCAACAGCTGTAGCTCTTAACTTCGTGCAGGAAAGCAGATAACTATATCACAAAATAATTCTGTTCTGAAGGACAACAGAGAAAAGATCCTTTGAAAAGGTGTCTTTGGGGAAAACTTGTGACTGCTCTGGCAAACAGGGGCATTGAAGACTCTGCATCAAAATTTTTCAACTTATCGTCCTCTGTAAATGTGAATTCTCTGTAATACTTTAGCATTTTTGTTATTTGATTCAGTAATACCAGTGGGGCGGGAAAAAGGATTAAGTAGTTGAGAACAAGCTCCTCCTCTAGTGCATTTGCATTTTGCAACTTGTTTACACTAATGATCTTGCATAAGTCACAGATGTCAATGTATCTTCATATTAAAGCAAGTATTCCAATGATGCAAAGCAAGTGAAAAAACACGCTTGAGCAGATTTGTAAAAAAAAAAAAAAAAGTCAGATAAATCATTATTTCAGTTAGGTAATTTATCCTTACATTTCTTCCATCAATGTCATTTCTGTTTTCAATCACTCCCCATGGAGCAATCCCAATAGTGCAAATCTTTCGAGATGATCTGGAAGCATGTTCTCTTAGAGCATCACCAACATGTTTTGCAACACCTATTTGTGAACAAAAAGATTTCAATGTATTTCTTAATAAGATGTGACGTTCAATACAACTGTTTTATTAGTTCACTGGGCCTTTAAGGATCTGGGAACTTATTTGACACAACACCAAAGAAAAAGCACCATACTACATCTACTAGAAGGAAACAAAGTACTATGTATCAGTAATTCAACAAAATAAATATTAGCCTAGTAAGAACTAAAGTTTCCAGTACATTACCGTACTTGTTTTAAGCGCATTAAGTTTGTCCTTTTGCAGTTTCAAAAACAAAGCCAAAAAAACCCCCAAAAACCCCCACCCCAAAACCAAACCAACAGCACCCAAAAAACCAAAACAAATATTAGCCTAGTAAGAACTAAAGTTTCTAGTACATTACTGCACTTGTTTTAATCGCATTAACTTTGTCCTCTTGCAGTTTCAGAAACAAAACCAAAAAAACCCCCCCAAAAACCCCACCCCAAAACCAAACCAAAAGCACCCAAAAAACCAAAAACCCCCACCTTTGTGTTGTTTCTCTTTGCAGGACAAAACAGCCGCCCACTTCCAACTACACATGTTCAAAATGTATTATTTTAAATTTCACTTGACCAAACTCACTCAAATTTACTTTGCTTTTAGACAAAGCTATGCGTCCATTAAATCTTTTGGCTCTTATAAACCATAATCCAGTTAACTGTGCACATTCACTGGTGGTACTTTACCTGTGTTCACTCCTCCAGTTATAATCCAGGCTCCTGTTGTTACTGCAGCTTTAATAAGACCTTTGCCAAGCAACTGTTTGATGCGTGGGTGAAGTTCAAATTTCTGCATGCCCCCATGTACAGATATAACAAGCTTCGGCAACTCCATCTGCCATTCTTTAAGCATAAGTTGCAGAATAGCTTCAGGCTTAGTGTCATATGACAATCGCACATACTGCAGGCACAAGAAGAGAGTTAAAAGGTTCTTAAAAGAAATCATCACAGAATCAATGAGTAAAAAGAAGAACCAGGATGTACTTCAGGATATATTATCCTATTCCTGGCTACAGACAATGTAATTCACTTTCTCAAAACACGGCAGATGCAATAAATGAACAAGCTTACTGCATGTCCTCCAAAATTAAGGACAAGACAGCAGTTTCGAAAGCAAATTTTGGAAAGGGAACAACTATATAACAACTATGTTATTCCATCCTACTGGCACAACGACCTAGAAAAATGAGTCTTTATGAAAGCATTGGATGATCTCTAAATTAGATGAAATTCAGAAATATTTATAAAAGTTCTGCCATCTACTGGGGAGAAGCTTGCATGTCTCTTGCGAAAAGTTTTACAGAGAGTTGTTCGCTTTTCCTTCCCTATTCTTGATGGGAAGGAAAGCTATACTCTTTGATAGAAAACTTCAAAACTAGCAGCTTTTTAACCTTCTATGTTTAACAGCATAAGAGTAAGCAGTTGGTTGATCAGTTAAAAATACTGTTGCATCTTTAATACAAGCTATTCAATAAACCCTACCTGAATCAAGTTCTAACTAAAAAAAGCCATCACTATTCCAATAAACTGGTTTTAGCAACCCCACTAGCACTGCAGAAGTAAGGACAGAAATGAGTACAGGCAGCTTGCTATTTTCTGTACTCCTGGAAAAGGATTCACAGCAGTTTTAAGCTATACTAAGCGTACAAAGGAACACATACGCTGCTATTACCAACATGAAAGAATTCTGCTAAAAGCCCTCCTCTCCACAGAGACAATCTCACCTAGAGCACTGGACTCTCCGCAGGGGCTCTGCCAGCTGCATAAGGAACACAGCTCCCTCATTCAAGTGCTTCAGTTTGGCCATAGGAGCCACACTGTATCAGAACTCTTTGCAGCTTATAACTGCATGAGCATTAAATCATTTCTACCACACCTAGAAATCCTTTACAAAATGGTTATGGAGAATATGTCAGAATTTCCAGTTTTCTAGCCTCTCCAGTACATGTGCACTTGTGAAGTGAGCTGGTCTCCAAAATTTTGATTTATTGGTATGCTTGTTTTTAAGTAACACCCTCTTCCAAAAAACTTAGTTATTCTGATCAGTACGATTATGCTTTAATAATTTTGAACAAACCTACTAAAGAAGCATATTCCACATCTGTCCATAATTTTAAATTATTTTTCAGAGTTTGAAAATTATGAATAGAGGGTTAAGATAGCAGATGTTACTTAACAGGTCCTATAAAAATTTAACTTTAGCAAGTAAGCAAGCAGTACAGATGAGTAAGCTGTATTTTCATGGTCTGAAACAGTGACACTGAATTCTTAATGTAATGTTTTGCTGAAGTGATTATGAATTCTTATCACCATTTGCAATTTGAAGGTAAGCCGGTACATGAATACAACTAATTCTGATACATCTGAGCAAATTTTGTTACAAAAAATAAATTTAAAAATGGAAGTTAGAAATAATTCAGATCACAATAAAAAAAAAAAACAAACCAAAACTAGAATAGTAGAGGGCACTGGTTTGTCACAACATGGGTGACATTGTTTTCAGCCTTCAATTTCAAAAGTTAAATGAAGCATCCACCATCTCTATCAACATGTTCAGAGTAAGAAAAAAAGAAAGTGTCATACGTGCCTTAGCCCTGTAAGAATGAGAGCCACCTTGAAAGTTGATGACACCGTAAGCATCAGTAGAGGTCTGTTCTGTATGTTTTTCCACTGACCATTCTTCTATTTCCTGCTTATAGTTTTCACCCAGCTTCACATCGGAGTATTTCATAGCAAGACTTGCAGTAAAACAAGCATGTTGTCTGACCAAGCGGCCACAACAGCACCTGCACCCAACCATGTCATTTAAAATACTTGAGTAAATACTATTATTAGAAGACAAGAGAGAAGAATTTCCTTTATCTAGAACAGAGATACATCAGATTTAGAAAGCAAAGATTCTAAATATTATATAAACCTCTTTTCCAGAGCAAGCCCTGTCACCATAAATATTTATAGCAAGAATTAATTACAATACATAATTATTATGCAAAATATTGAAGCTCACTGAGACAGCAAGTTGGAGGCCAGAAGAAACTGAATAGTCAGGACACAGAAAATTGATTCTTTGAAACCAAATAATTTATATAACATTTATAAATCTGTGATCTATGTATAGCAGACAGTTCTTTATTCATTAGTTATATTTGGTTTGTATCTAACCTTTCACCAACTTGTCATCTGCAATATTGATCAAAACTTAAAAACCCTATTATGAATGTGCTTATTTAATGGAAAAAAAAAATCATAAATATTGTAATTACGAAGAACTCTTACCTGACAAGTTGCTGACAAATCTGACATCCTGGAAGGCATCTATAAGAAATATTTAAATATATGAGTAAACTTCAACTTCAATTTGGGGGGTAGGGGGGTGGGAGGGAGGCGACAGACCACTCACACCACTTCATGTGCTTACAGAAAGATTACTTAACAAAAGAATTCTCCAGTAAATGGAAAACATGCTGCCCAAGTTTGCCCGTTTTTAACAGGATAAATTGTCTGTCTTTATTTTACATGACTGTAGTATACTTGGCACATAAAAACACATAAACATGCAAAAGCTTCAGTCCTGAGACTTCGGACGGGTTTTAAGGCTTTGAACCATCAATATATCTGAAGCCCAGGAATATTTCAGACCAGATTATCTGCAGTACTCAAACTGAAACATTTTTGCTAGATGCTAAGAAGTTACTTGCAGACCAGCATTTTCTTGGACTCATTCTAACTATACATTGTTGCATCTATTCTACAAATTCATCCTTCTAATATACATGCAAGTTGAACTGCCTGTGTGGGAAGGTTATTTAATCATTTCTGAGTTGCATGTGCAGAAGAAGGTATATTTGAACAAACCTTATACAGTAGTGTCTTTACGTAAAGTTTATTATATAAAAAGAATGCTTCATTTCTACCCGCTTCCATCTTAAACATTTTCTGTGTTTTCCTGCTAACAGCTTTCTTAACATTTAAAAATTAACATAGCAGATAAATTTATACCACCGTTTTCCATAATTTTCATAAGCAGCTGTTAATCAATTATGGTTAAGAGCTAGTATGCAAAAGTGTACAAATACAGATGTTATACAGTAGTCTTAAACTGTTTTCAGACTTTGAGCATAAAAGATTTTTAAATTTTGTCCTCTATAAAAGTTATACTCTGCTATTAATCATGTTTTTAATACTGAACTATAGCTTTAGACCTTCTCTAACAGTTAAAGTACAATTATCTATACTAAAAGGTACAGATCAACAAAACATACCAAATACTCCTGTCTACATTTGATTTATTTACGTATAATCAACTAACAACAGTAAGCAATATTTAGAAACCAAAGGACAAAATCTGATGGAAAAGTTGTAAAGTCCGTCGTATGTTACAAATGGGTTAAACTAAAAGGGCAAATGTTGAAGATCCTTTTGTTCCTTGTGAAATGCTCTGGAAATTTTAACAGCTTCCTTATTCCTTTGTTTGCATTTGCAAATTTTCCATGTGCTACAATCACGGCTATAAATTCTAAGAGCTTCTCATGTCACATGGTTTCAAGGAATGTGGTGAATTATTTACAATAACTTAAAAAAATTCTACAGCACTTACTTTGTTCTTTTTCTGCCTAAAAACAAAAGTTCTTAAAAGAAAAACAATACTCTGCCACAACAGAACAAGAGATATTTACAAGTGTTTTCATGGAAAAGGCTGAAATAGAAGTTTCGAGAAGTTCAGAAAGAAAGGTTTCTCAGCTGCTCTCAAATATATGGAGCTAAAAAAAAAAGCTGATCTGAAGTCCATAATGACAATAGTAAACATTTTGGGAAGACAAAACTGCCTTAAAATACCAATTTTGAATCTATTTTCAATTTGACCTTCCTTAATCTGTGACACAGATGTCATGACCACGCACATCAAGTTCAATCATTGTAGAAACTCTTAAAATTATACCTATAACATTTAGTGAAGGTAAACTCTACCAATTAGATATGTTAGAGGTGTCACTAACTTGCCAGATTTTACATGTCTAATTTAGCATAAGGTAAAAGCAGCACGTGAGATATGCAAAATATTCTTCATTAGTCTCAGCCTCCCCTCTAGAAACATATTTCCCTGTTTTTCAGCCTCATTTTTTCCTTACAGAACTTAAGAATGAAAAATTACTAGATACCACATGAAATCTTTTGATATCCAAACTGTTCTTATTTTATCTATCTTCCCTGGAAGCAAATATTTATTTAGTCTTTGTTTTATAATCTTTTTCTCCCACCACAATTCTTGTTTTCTTTATTCTTCTATGAATTCTTCATCCCTTTTTCCTGCACTGTCAGGTTTATTTTTATACTTCACCCTACACTCACACTGCTATTCTTTAAATTCCAATAGAGTATATCTCTAAGAGACTTTCTGACTTCAGAACTATGCCACCAAAAAAAAAAAAAAATAACACACACAAAAAAACCATACAACCTCCCCCCCACCCCACTGTAGACACACCAAAGACACCA